GCTGAACCGCATAGACTCCCCAACAGCACCACCAACTAGGAATCAAGTGTCCAAATGCCCAATACTACGGGAAGCCTTTCTCGTTCAAACCACCATACTTTCCTAATACATCCATGCACTTTGACACTGGCCTGGAAGCCAGGCAGGGAATTGTGGGTGCAACTTCCTTTATGTTTATTTACAGAGCTGCAATGGAGGGGGGATAATATATACTAAATATTGAGGTTCTGCTTATGTTCTGAGACCCAGTAACTGAATTGCTGTCATTTATAGTTATGTGTAGTGAGTTATACTTCTAGATTCACTTTGTAAACTCACTTGTTTTTAGCATGTTATACTACATGTATTTTTGAGCCTCCTGAAATCTATTTTTTAGCAAAAGAGGTTTAAGTATGTTGGTATAGTACTTGATAGTCCATGAAGTATCTGTACATGTCGTTTGCTGTCCATGGCCGTCTTGTGAGGAGACAGTTGTTCCTTCATAAGCGTGAGCACACTGGGGCTTTGACAAGTTATTGGCTTATGAGGGGTCACCCTAAAAGTGAAGGACAAAAGCAGGAATCATGTTGTCACTCCACCTCCATGCCCAGGGCTCTTGTGCCTTGACTTCTGCTTTGTCTCTGGCAGGGCCCTGGACACTGGGGCAAAGTGACAGATCTTCAGTTAGGGAACCAACATAGACCCCCGTCAGGTATGAACCAGTTTCCATTCAATTTCTTAATGTTTAAAAGAATATGAAAATATTGAAAACTACTCTGAAAGATTAATGTCCCATGGTTCTGAGCAACACAAACTGGCTTTCCAGGGAATATGAGAAAGTTGTAAAAGATGTAGACAAATCCCTATCCAACTGCTAAGGTTTAAAATGCACTCCATCAACTGTTTTCAGAAAACAGACAGTGCCTGGTGGTTTTCTTTTGGCAAACTATGAAAACTATAAATTGACTAGACCGACTTGAATGGTATTTACTCTCAGTTTGCCTCAAGTCCGGGTGTGATCTCCATAATTACTTTGGCCCTTCTGTTTGGGACTGTGGGTGCTGAGCACAGGTCTGGCAGTTGGGGAGAAAAGGAATTAGTAAGGGCACCATTAGGACAGGAAACCCCACTCCGTGTGTCTATGGGATCAGTGTGTTGCTGGCCCAGAAGGCACAGATAGATAGTGGATACGCCCAGGAAAATGGAGAGGCGGGCCTTTGGGAAGGACTTCAAAGTCCTGTCCTCCTCGGGATGCCCTAGAGCCATGAGCAGTCGCTTCTGCTGCTTGGCTCTAGCCTTGGCTTTCTGTGGAATGCAGATGCCTTTGGCAGAGACTCCTGACCCTACCAGAGTGTTTTAGTATGCTCTTTCCTCCCAAACAGTGGCGGGAGGGAGGCCATTGAGCACATCAGATCCCTGCAGATTCCCCAATTTCCTGTGGAAATCATGGGAGTTTCTATTTTCCCATACCTCTCTCTACCCATACAGATATGGTACTAAGACAAAAACTTGGCTGCCAGCCAACCAGAGACCCATCCCCTGCCTCATCTGCACAGTCTTTCCCTCTCCAAATCTGAGGAAACAAAATTAGATGGAAAAAATATTCAGCTCAAGATGAAAGATCCATTTTTGTTTTGGCCTTTGCTCGGGTATAAAAACAGACACATGAATCGTCTGGTTGGGTTTATAATATTGAGACTCATTGCATGCATTCATCCTATTCATTTTTATTTGAGTCATTTTTATTTAAACTTATTCAGTGAAATTCAACATCTAAAAGTTTATCTATGCTACAGCCTTGCTGTTTGTCATAAAGAAGGTCACCATGCAGCATACATTTTCAGAAGACAGATCTGGGATGCAACGGCACCTGAGCATTTACATGTCAAGTGTGTGCAGGCTTTGGGAGCCTCCTGGGAGAGCTCCCTGACACACCTGGCGAGGCTGGAACCTGAGCTCCTCTTCACTGCTTCACATCACACTGATGTGGTACACAGGGGAGGCTTGGACAGAGAACAAAACACTCTGCTCAAGAATTTACATTGCATGGTGACCACATTCAAGAAATCAACAAAAGCAAGTGAAACCACACAGAGGCCTGGGTTTCCTGGCCCTCTTTGGGCTTTTTCAGAGGACAAGAATATATAACCAGCTTTGCAGTCAAGTGTTTGGCTAGGAATGATTACTCATATTACCCCAAATATTTATGATCAGAAGTAGCACATGAATAATATGTGACTTTTCTTTTATTCAACCCAAAAGATTTCCAGGCATGTCACATGTCACTTTTTTTCCCAAAGACGGGCATTCAGCCAGTTGGTTCACTCACTGCCTAGATAAAGTGGGGAGGAGAGAAAAGTGCTTAGGCAGTCACTAAGCAAATAGTTGAGCTCCTAAAACATATTTGATTTTGCTAGTCCTGGATAACCTGCACTTGCTTTCCTGCTTAGATTAGCCATGCAGGCTGAGCCTTATATTACACTGTTCCTGCTGCTGGTCGAATCCCATTCTCCTTGTGAGATGAGAACTGAGGCCATCACTGAAGAGCCCACTCAGGTCCCATCTCTGTAGAGCTTTCTCCTCTGCCTTTCTTATATCCATAACCCAGAGAGCTTGCTCACCCTGAGGATGATTTGCGCGCTCGCCTTATTTGTGGCTGTAGGAAACGGGGTATGTGGAAGGTGCTATGCTCACTTCAGATTGCCTTCCAGATTCTGGTTGTTGAGTTGGCTCCATAAGGCTACTTCTACTACCATTTGGTAGGTTCCAGTGCCACCCGAGTGTGCATGCGTGCACACAGTAACTCTGTAAGTTTCAGGTAACTCCAACCATGCATGTGTGCTGCTCATTTTCCTCTGGGCTCATCAGCAACAACTCTGAGCCCGTGGAGTGAAACACAGATACAATTAAAGATCACTTTTCCTCCTGCTTCTTCTGTGGTCAGGGACTGTCTTAACACTGCAGAGACACTCGTAGCCTCAGACCCGGGTGCCATGCTTCCTTTTAGACCACTGAGGCTGTCTTGGTCTCAGTTCTGCTTGAAATCTTCTATGGAACAAGCTAGAGTACAAAGAACTGAAGGAATTATCTGGGAACAAATAAGTCTCATCTGAGATTGAAGAAACAAACACTTAGTAAGCGGCAGGCTGAGGGCTGAAGTGAAATGAGTTCTGGGTGAATGTCCCAGGTTTTCTGACCTCCTTCACCTGCTTGACATCTTTGCTGACCATGCCTCGGTTTTCGTTTGAAATGTATTTGTATTTGAGACAAACAAATCCAGGAAGAACCTTTTCATAAATTATCTCAAATGTCTCTAAATATTTTGATTATTTACACACAGCTTGTGTTTACATGACAACAAGGAAGCCTTTCATCAGGAAAGCATCTAGCAGGAACATATGCTTGTGGGCAAACATTTTGACAAAAACCATCCTAGCCTTTTTTTTTCCCCATTGAAGAGAGTCTTCCAAATGAAGGTCCCAGCCAGGTTGCCTATGATCGAACACTAGCCTATCCTGCCTTGCCTGTGACCCTGGCCTCCTGTTTTGTGCCTCGCCTAACAGAAAGAGTCATCCTTTATCACCCTAGAGGAGTGGTTCTAAAACCTCTGCAGATACCAAAGGCTGTGGATACCAAAGCCCCTCCTAGACAATGGCATAGTGTTTGTCTATAACTACACATATCTTCCTAGAAACTTTAAAGGACTTAATTACTATGGTAATACCTAATACAATGAAAATACCCAGTGAATAAATGTTTGTTATATTGAATAGAGAGTAATAATGATATAAAAAGTCTCTGTGTGTTCAATACAGATCATTTCTTTTTTAATATTTTCCAGCCATGTTTCTTCATGTGGAATCCACTGATCTGGAAAGTCAACTCCCTCCTTTAATTTTGATTTTTTTTTGGGGGGGGGACGGGGTCTCACTATGTCGCCTTGTCTGGCTTGAAACTCATTTTGCAGAGCATGTTGGCCTCAAACTCACAACAAAGATCCACCTACCTCTACCCCCCAACTGAATTTTTATTTGCGTGTGGGGGGGTGATAATTAAAATAATTTTATATTCCTTTCTTTTTTGGAGGACTGGGCATGTGAGGTAGGGTTTCTATGTGTAACAGCCCTAGCTGGTCTGGAACTAGCTTTGTAGACCAGGCTGGTCTTGAACTCAAAGATCCAACTACCTCTGCCTCCTAAGTGCTGAGATTAAAGGTGTGCGCCACCATCTCTAGCTTTTATCTCTTTCAAAAGAAAAACATTGTTTTAAAACTAGAAGTGTCTTTTTCTAACCACAGTAACAGCTGCAGTTTTGGCTGTGGAGTAGATCTGCTTAAGTGAGCTTGCATCTGGGGGAAGATAAAAGCAGGAGTTGGGTATGCAAAGCCAACCCCACTTTTGAAAGCCTACTCCAGTGCTCTGCTCTGAGGCAAACCTGTAGTCAGAGCCGTGGCTGGCTCACCTGTGCACAGGGCAAGCACTGCCGTCTAGTAGCATTGTTCTCGCTATGCCAACACGTCTGTGACAATGTCAGTTCCTAGAAAAAGTATAGTCAGGAAATAGAATCAGCAGTCAACTTACACACAAAGAGAAGCAAGCATCTGTGGGACTCCACCATTCCTGAAAAAACATAGTTGATTAAAACTATGTTAGGACCCTGGCAAAAACAGAAGCAGAAAAAAAAAAAGAAAATACTGTAACTTACAATATTTTTTTTCAATTTGTGCATTTGCATGTTTTCATTCCCACCTAAGAAAGAAAAATCTTACTAGATTTGGTTTTGGACTCTGAAGTCGTTCCACTGAGAATCTTGGTCCAGTTTCTAACAGTAGCTGTAATTTGTAAAAACCTACTAAGAATGGAATATGAAGATAATGGGCTCCGTCTGAGGAATTGTTTTAGCAGAGATTTCATATGCAAGACTAAATGCTGATCAACAGAGCATAATATTGTATTCTGAAGTGTGTGGGGAAAGCAAAATTAATTTTTTTTCTTCTTTCCTTCTCTCACAATGTACCACAGCGACTGCATTTGCCTCCAGACTTGTCAGACACAGTGAGCCGTTCAAGCAAACAGGATCTGGCAGACTCCGCCAAGCTGCTGGGCCCAGGCTGTGGCATGATGGCCGGAGGCAAGAAGCACCTGGACTTCTAGGGAATCCTCCTTAGTAACTGCATGCGGAATTATCTGACACCCTAATTATGATTGCAAATAGCTTATGTAAATATTTTTCTTAATGATTTGACCCTCCAGTCTTTGAAAAACACGGGATTTCAAACGGAGCCACGTTCTTCAGTTTGGGTTGTTTCATTGTTTGTTTTTTCCACCAACTTTTGTACAAAAACAATAGAGCAGAAATACCATCATTTGACATTTAGCTGCTGTTGTGTATTTTAAAATACTAATTGATTTTTAAATAAACACCAAAAATACCCTAAAACATGATGTGTCTTAGAGTGGTCATTGGTTCATGTGGACTGGAGCGATGGAGTGATGGTGTCGTGAATGATGGTGATAGACACGCTCACCCACGGAGTGTAGAACAGGAGTTCAAGTTGTGTGGGATACGTTGCTCTGTGTTTCTGGAGAAGTCACCGAAAACTGCTAAGCCTTTTTTGAAGAATGTTCTGTTTGCTAGTGTATGAGACAGTTTGCATTTGTGCATCCTGCCATTTCAAGTGACGAAGACCAAACAGCTGTATTGAGGGATTTTGTCTTAATTACCCCACACAATAGGACACACAGAACCTGATGGGTGGACTGCTGTTCTAAAGTTCTAAATAATTGACATCGGTACTGTGAAATTCTTTCAACAGACAAAATCCAAGATTGAAACTCAAGCTGGCAGCTCCACTGGTGCTGAGGTCCCAAAGATGTGTCTTGAAGCCCGGTGCGCAGGTTACATAACGTGGGTCTGAGAAACTGAAAACCTGAAAGGAACTCAGCTTCCATTGTGTCACCTCAACCCTTTGTTAACCATGAGCATTGGCTGAGCATGCTAATGAATCTCTAACCATGTAGCATGTCTTGGGAACACAGCATATGGAACAAGTTTTCATAGACCGCACTAGGGTTTGGTGTCATAGGTCCATATTCTTGAAGGGTTTGACAAATCATAGGTACAAAGTGAAAGTTAAAAGGCAACTTGCATGCATTTAAAGACTCAAGTGTTTTAAAAAGATGTTGGCAGAAACTGAATTTCCAAAATACATTTTCAAATAAATTAGAATATTTTGAAGCACCTTTAACTAACATTTTAAGCAGTTTCCTTTTAATATACCACAAATTATACTCTATTTGCTCTTGACAACATTGTAGAAAACAAAGACTAGGTTTTTAAAACTGTCTAACCAATATGATGAATGTCAGTCACTTAAAAAAAAAGCCCACTGTAGCATAAACACACACTGTATACAGCTCTTATTCAGAATTAGAATAATTGAATCAATGACAGTGATTTGCCAGGATGTCAAATCTCTCCATCATACCCTGTCACTACCAGTTTATTTTTTGTGATAAAATCAAAAAGACAACTATTTTGTCACCACGACTTCATTAGCACTAAAAAAAATCAAGTTGATTCTTTTTTTTTTTTTTTAGAATGTCTGGTTTATTTTTTTCATACCTTTTAATTCTAAAGAAGCAAATTCTTCCCCATTTTCTTTTCAAAATAAAGTTTCAGAATTAATCTGTCAGTTAAAATTAAAGGGCTTTTATATTGAGGAGAGGTACTTTTAAGATTTAAAACAACTTCAAAAAATTGATTTCCTCCCTAGATAATAAATCATGCTGCACAGGTATCCACAGAAGCCCAGCTGTCCTTTAACAGATAGTGAATAAACTGACGTGAATGTTTAATTGTTATAATAACTAACCTTTCTCTTACCCTGTTGTGACTCATTTTATACAAACACACAACAGCACAATTATATGGCATTTGACTGGAAAGAAAGTATGAAGCCATCAGATAAGTAAATTGCTTATAAAATACTTAATAGAGCATTGGTTTGCTTTGCTTCTTGGCTATAGCTATAAAATTAACAGCCAACTACTAGTAGATGTGCACTTTATAAATAGATAAATGCCCTAGAAATTGAAAAGCACATTTGAACCCTTAGCTTAAACAGAAATAAACTTTTCAAACTCTTAAATAAATAGAGTAGCTGGCTTTCCAAAAATACTGCATCCACCACTTTGTTTCTCAGATTTCCTCAGCATATTTTAATAATAATAATAATAATAATAATAAGGAGAAGAAGAAGAAGAAGAAGAAGAAGAAGAAGAAGAAGAAGAAGAAGAAGAAGAAGAAGAAGAAGCTGATATTTGAAACAGATGTATGGTGCTATTTTGTTTTGTTTTCCTCTGATAAAAACCCATTCTAAAAATATGTTTTCCTTCATCTGGAAATTATTTGTTCTCTATTACCCCAATAACTTCCTACATGAAAATATTGTTTTTCAAATGCTAACATATAATATAGCTCTATATATTATATGCTACTGTATATATGCATGTACTTCTAATGTATTATGAAATGTATACTCTATTCATAGATTTTAACTTGTCTGGAATATAAATACTTAACACTGTCAAATAGAATAGCTGTAATATCTCTATCTTTTCAATGTGTCCAGTGCGTGAACCCCACAGCCCTTTGTGGTAGTCCTAATCCTTGTGCTAGATCTGCCTTTCTTTAACATGAGGTCAATATTTTGACTCCTGTAGATTACTCAGGTATGGGGCTCTGAGACTCTCTGGATTTCTTGTTAACAGCCACTGAATGAGATCACTTTTCTTATCTTGTTTTTCACTTATTTTTTAGCACTACCCCCAGGACCTTCCTATACTAACACCAGAACAGATTAAAATGCTTCCAAAGCAAGGGGTATTCTGCTGTTGATTCCCTGTCTTTTCATTTTAATGAGTGGGACATATGCATACACCTACAGCAAGGGTGTGGGGGGAAACCCCTATCGATTAAGCCCATTATTAATGTCATCTCTAAGACATCATGTGACTGTGTTCCAAAGATAGTCACCATTAGCAGTATTCGAATTAAGCAGTATAAACTCTAAAGATTTACACTTTGAACTTGAAAAATGAGCAGTTTAGTCATGTATGACCAAGGCCAAAAAAAGTTATTGAAAATCAGAATAATGTGTATTTGCCATCAATCAAATCAATATAGAGACCACCTCCTCAAGAAAAAGATACTTTTTCTTGAGAGCCTTAAGGCCCAGAGCACAAAGACATGAATAGAGATGATCAGCGCCATCCTGTGACAGCAAATGCTTGCATAAAAAAGCATTAATACCATAGAAGTAATTTTTAGGAATCCCAATGATCTTTCATTTAAGCAGGAAGAGGAGATGATGTACGCACCATTGAGAAGCCAGTTGTTCACCACCTTGTAAGAGTTGTTGGAAGGTACAGCTTTGGGGGAGGGGAAATCCTTGGAATTTCATCACAGTACAAAGCAAAGTTGTTTTCACCTACAGCACTGGTTCTCAACTTGTGAGTCGAGACCACTTTGGAGGTTGAATGACCCTTTCACAGGCTTCATTCCTGCATATCAGATATTTATATTGCAGTTCATAAGAGCAGCAAATTACAGTTATGATATAGTAACAGCCATAATAAAATTATGGCTAGGATGGGTCACCACAACCTGAGGAACTGTATTGAAGGGTCGCAGCATTAGGAAGGTTGAAAACCACTCATCTAGAGTGATTGAACTCTCCATTCACCTGATATCCCTAAGTCAGTCAAACCTTGAGATAAAATGTAAGCTGTTTGCACAGAGGATGTCATAAAACTTGGTCTTTGTCCTGGAAAATGGCACTAAAACATCCCTGCAGATTTTCCATTGCCAAATCTATAAATATACCTGTCAGTGAATCAACAAATGAAAATGATTACTGGGAGTCAAAAGCCAGTTCCCGGGCACTGGGACCACACAGCCTAGGATACAGACAGCTAGCTCATCTCTCTAGGGTGCATGCGGACAGAAGGCAAGGCTGTTCTCATCCTGTTCAACCAGAGGCTTCCACAGCTGAGCATCCCCCCTTCAGGATCTACCAGGCTGGGCCACTGCGCCCTGGCAGTCTTGACCCTCTGAGGACTTGTATACGTGCCCAACTGCACACATCCAGACCCTCAGTTCTCACAGCACTCTCAGATCTTACACCCAGAATTCCATGTGCTGTTGTTCTCTGTAGTCTGTGTACTCAGCAGAGCCATGGGCCAGCACGGGCTGCCTGACCCCAGCCAAAATCACAGCCAGTTGGAAACTGCTCTTTTTTTTTTTTTTTTCCTGAGGAAGAAGTAAGGCAGCCAGCAGTGGCTGCAACATAGCCCTTTTCTGACAGTTCCCTCAGCACACATCCCTCAGGGAATGGAGGCTGCAAAATGTCAGGAGGTGGAAATGTCTACAAGGGCGATTGTACCAATAGTGTATAGGTGCCAGCAGGCAGTGCAGGCTGACATGGACAGTGACCAAAAGCACACACACAAAAATGGCAAGCCAGTTAGAATGGCCTTCCAAACATAAAGTAACTCTGCTAGACTAAAACTTGATAGACCTAAATGACCTGTCTGGAAGTAAGACCTTAACTACCAAATGAGAGATGTTGAACTGCAGGGTCATATTGAAATCCTCAAATCATTTATTTTTTACGGGGATTTAAAAAAAAATCAGAGTTCAAATCCATGGAAGTATCTTTTCCCCCAAACATTTCTCCATGTTTAAATGTTTTAATCCAGACGGTCAGGACCCACACACATACACATTTTTCATTGAAGTTTACTGGAGAAAATATGTCTACTTTGACTTAAGTGTTGCACAGAACAGACAGAAAATAGCAGGCAGGCCTTTCTCTAACCAACAAAGGCTTATTTCGTGTTTTTTTTTTTTTTTTTTCCATCCACTGTTGGGCTCAGGCACTCCTGCCCTGCGTGCCGCCACTTTAAACATGATCAGATCTGTGCTTCTTTGCAAATAACAACTGACCAACAATGGGCCCTGCTTCGTAGATTTGGGAATGTTTGGCTTAAGCTGCCAATGACTGAAGGCCTTGAACTCCCACCGGCCAGTCACAGTCTGCTTTGTTGTCGTCTGTTGATGTGTCTGTGCTCAGCTCATTATTCCTCGACATGCAACAGTCCCCTCCACCCTCCAACCATCCACAGAGGCGCAGAAAGCAAGACTCAGATGGGAACAGCCGTAGGGGGTCAGTGGGACAGGATGCCTCTTGTGCAAAGAGGAGGGAGACAGGACAGGGAGAAGGGTTGTCCGAGAGAGGCAACAGCTTGCAGAAAGTCTCCTTTAAGAACTCAACCTTTGACTATACTTCAGTGAAATTACTGTGGAGATTGGCTGCCCAGTTTGAAAATGCCAGCTTCAATTCAAAACAAAACTCCTAGTGAATCGCTTGTTGCATT